GCTAGGACTCGTGATAGACGATATGAGAGGTCAGAACGATAAGGAGTCGTTCACTAAGTGCGATAAGAGTCTCATGTGTAAATGAAAGGGACTTCATAGACGGACCAGATTTGTATCTCTGTGCTGTAGCGTTACTGCAAGGTCATGAGAACAACCGGGTCTGCCCAGGAGCCAGCCACGGGTCACGCCCCTCGACAGCATGCGCTCAAAATCATAATAATTGAGGTAATAATCAAAAATCTGTATAGAATAGCACTGTTGCAGGGACTTTGGTTCGTTTCGCCACTTTTCAAACGAGTCTTTGCTAGTGAAAAACTTTTTACATGAAAGCCTGATGGCGCGCATAACACATTCTGTGAAGAACCGGTAAAGATGTAACTCTCAAAAAGACTGCCTATTTTGAGAACATTAACTTTTAATTTTGTTGAATGAGGGTGATTATGCGGGTGATTGGGAGGTACAAGTCGCCACGGACCCTGGGCTACTTTCGCGGCTCAAATGTACGCACCAGTGGCTTGTGACCTGGACCTGAGATAGCCTATTAGACCGGCATCTGCCCACAGCAGCTGTCGGGCCTAGGATGGTGGCCTCACCCCTTTGGACTGCTATTTCTCCCCCCCCCCTCCATCTGGTCTAACGTCTAAAAGAAAAACAGCGACTTGTTACCTTATGCTCGCGCGATGTCTTAAATCAGACTTGTGCAGAGGGATCACATTCAGAACCTTTTTGCTTCCGCTTTTTTTCCTCACCGCAAAACTGCTCAGTGCATGGAATTTTATATTTGGATCGCCGGTCCATTTTCTGCATGGAAAACGGGAGGGTCATGTTTCAGGGCTTGGGATTACCGAAGAGAAGGTGATAAAATGTGCCTCCTGGGAGGACTTTCCTCAATTACCTGTTAATTAAATCCCTTCTAGGCGAGAGCGTATCCTGATATGCGGAATGTCGCTGCGGTTGCTGGATCGTGTCAGAGGGCTAGGTATGATGCATCGCACCCGCGCTCCCACAATTGTTGGAGCTGCAAGCGACTACGATTCATGGAAAACGTGTTGGCGGCGCGCCAAATCTAGCCTTCGACACGCCCCAGTATCAGCAGCGAGCATGACTGACCGATTTCGTGGTTAGGCAGTGAGCGACGGATTAGATGAGGCAGATATTAGCCATGGTAATGAAGCCCATCTCCCTCTTTCGCCTCACTCATCTTCCTGTGCTCTCATCCGTTATTTTTCTCGCTACACGCAGTTCCCCACCTTGACGGGAACTCGTGAATTTGTGAAAACCGCCTGGAAACATGAAAATCTTATTTAGGGCATCTCCAGTGGTTCTAACCACTTTTTTTCTTCACGGTCAAAGTCACTAAGTCGTCTCAGTAAACACGCGAGATCTCCGACCACTCATACCTTGCAGAATCCGCGAGCCGTCTTTTCGTGATAAGTACAGGGGTCACAAAAACACGACGACCTCTCCAAATATCACGCTCAGTGGAACTTCCTTGTCTGAGTCTTCCTATGATTGATGGCTGCAATGTAAGACAGGCTGGCCCGTGAGCGCAGGAGCTGCCCTCATATTTTTTTATTCAAAGGTGCTAAATCCCTACCCACGGGACCACTCATACCCAGCGAGGTCCTCCTTCCCAGCATGGCCCCATACCTGAGATAAATGCGATTGGCGATCTCGTCCATTCTCATCGTATCGCTCTATGCTTCTCTTATCCCTTCCTCGTCTGGTCTCTCTTCTAGGCTCCGTGTGTTTCCCTGCGATATGGGAATAGAATGCGTTCTAGGGACGTAGAAAACAGGGTCCTGCTCAAGTGTTTTCGAAGGCTCATTGTATGGCATCAGAGAAGATCTGGCATCTGGGATAAGAAAGCTCATAATACTCTAGCCCAGATTTATCCGAGAATCACACGATAGCTACGTAAATGCATGGTCCAGTTAGAAGCGCTGGCGTACATCGACCGGTTCGATAGAGAAATGTCACATATGACAACCATTCAGAATCCCGCATGGAAATACAACTAGTAAGAGGTGATCAAGAGCTGACGAGCAAGGGAAAGATCCGAGAAGGGGCATGACAATCCGGGGCGGGTCTTGGTATGAATCTAGTGTGGGAAGGGGTATTGGCAAATACATAGCGCTTTGCTCAGCTATGCTCAGTCGCTTCACAACTTTGAGGTTGACTTAATGAAAATCATAGAATATCCACCGCGGTTAGAGCAGATGACCTCGCGGAACTACGTGCGGGAGGAGACTAAAGAAACAATCCGTCTGGAAGTCACAAATATTTCTTACTAGCTGAATGAACTTGTAAACTGACATGTCCCGATCATATTTAGGAGCATATTAAGTTTTTATAAGAATGTTTTTAAGCAACAAAATATGAATGACATCCATTATTATAACGACAATCAATCGGGTACCGTCGGAGTGAACTGAACGATCTCAGGTCTATGAGTGTTATGTGTTGTCGTTTTGTATCGATGTTGCTAGGATTATTATTGTTTTTCCGGGTACCTTGACGATTTGTGCAAATGTTTGTATGTAGTGGACACGTGCTAAATTCTGATATGAGTCTGTCTAGCAGACTTGGTGTGAAAGGAACAACAAGGGCTCGGTTAACTGGGTTGGAACCTATCTGGTGCTACCAGAGCAATCAGTTCTTCGTGTGCTCGTCCCTGCGAGACAACAACCTTCTCGAGGACCTGTTTGGTCCTACTAGAGCAAATAGTTCGTCACAGATTCGTCCCTCTAAGCTAGTCTAATGGCCACATACTAAGTCACTACCCTCTACAGAGTTGGATCTTAGTAAAATGCATGGCTGGCCCTTACCCACCATCCGGATTACCAGCAGGTTCTTTCATTTGAAGAGCCAATCTCCTAGTTGCAGTTTCCAAAACAAAACGATACCATGCTATTTGGCACGAAACAGTAATAACAACAAGTTATAGCTTATTGTTGATCTAGCATAAGGTGAACGCCGAAAATAATCAAGATAACAATGCCGTTAGTCAAATCTTCATAAAGCGATTATTGATTCAAAAGCAAGTAAAATCATCTGGCGTAAAATTTTTTTCTTTATACTGAAGTTATATCGACGAAAATGTCCAGTAGGAAGGGATACACACTAGGTAAGTGTACGGTGCTCGAGTCGCGTTCTGCTCTGGCCACAGGCAACCAAGCCTTCCCTCTACCGCCGCCTTAATGGCGCTGGGGTCGTCCGAGACGATACAAACTGATTTGTTCGTCCATCCCCCTCTCCAAGTCATTTTATAGGTAATAGTATTATCGCATCCAAAGAGTCGCTAAGATTCTTAACAGAGAGGGTGGCGGGCAGGCGGGCTGTTTTACATTTCTGAAAGGAACTGATGAACAGTGAAAGCCTTCTTCGTCTTCCCTTTGTTTCTCTGCTCAAAAGTGCATGGAAACGAGTCTGGAGGGCAGTGACAGCTGGGAGCCGTCTCCTGTGTCGTCTCCGCACTCTGCCCTTGCCATCCTCAAAGTGGAGCACACGCGTCGATACCAAATTACCTTAACGAAACACGTGCTGAGCGGTAGCGAACAACCAGAAGCCAGCTCGCGTCTGACTATAGTTACCGCGTTGGAGGGCCCTGCTGCAGCTCCGGTGGAGTATAAATACAGCACACGGGATCACAAATCTCCAGCCCCGCTCCGTGCACCATGGACCCATTCACCTCACACATGGCAAGGACCAGGATTTATAAGTGTGGGTGTACAGCACTTCTCAAAAAAGAAAGAGCAGAATGGTTTAGTAACAGGCGATGACGCCGATCGCACACACGATTCGAGGGTCGAGTCAAATAACTGATGAGCTCTGAGCTCCCATCTGAACTAACCAAGCCTTCCAGCCCACAAAGCATGTAACTTGGTGCCAGTCTGGGAGGAAAAAACATTGGCTTCTACCTTGGCTGGCTACCGCAAACATAATGTAGTGATAGCGTTGCAATCAGTCGGAACGGTTTCAAGGGGGTGAAAAGAGCATCCCTTCGGCAGTCCTGCTCTACAAATGGTGATTGGTTGGTGGTAGAAAGAAAACAACCAGTGGTGGGAACGCTGCGGCAGACCCCTTCCATTTCTTTTGGAACCGCCCCGACTACTTACGACGAAATTAAGTGTGTGTGCGAACCAAAAAGCGTTCAGAATGCCATTTCTGTTCTAAGTGGAAGTAGAATGTGTGGCGCATCCCATCTATACATTGACTTAACGCCAAATTTTTCAGCCTTCTACTATTATGAAAAATGCGAATATGCCAATACAGATCCATCTATCAACACAATTATTTCCGCACACAATTTTTTTTTGCATTTGCTTTACTCCAATTCTTACTTCAAAGTTTCAGATAGTTTTACTTTTGCTGTCATAGCCTCTGAAGTGAGCACCAAAGCGTAAATTGGCATAATCTGAGGATAAGCGACGCATCAAATGCAATCCGATACCGACCGCAAAGCGTCTCTTCCGGGCACAAGTTCACATGGTAATCGAGCGCATTAGACGCCTCTAATGGGATAACAAACAGCACAGAATCGTCTCTCGCCCTTTCTGCCATCCCGTCCCTCCTCCTGAATCGGACGGATAAAGTTTCCCGGATATGATTGTCAGTATCCATGAATTCATCGCTACCAACGTGCCCTGCCACTTCCACTCTTGACGTCAATGATCCTGAAAGTGCAGAGCTCGCTGGGGCAGATTGCCAACAGTTTTCGCCAAAGGACTGTAGCACATCATTTCTCAGCAACTCGAGCTTATGCCCAGTACCTGAATCAGCCGTTGATCCTTATATGCAGTATCAGTTTGCCGCTGGAGCTCAAATGGCTTATTTCAGTTAGTTTCATTGATCCATTTTCAAAAATGCTTTCCTAATCGATGCACAAACTGAAGAGTCCCACTTACCTAACTTCCCATGAGTAATTATTTTTCCAGATAAGGACTCCATTTCAATTCCAGATTCTTTCATGAAGGTTACACAAAACGGCAAAAATTGTAGTGTTCTTCGTACCCAGCAACATCGGCGGAAACCCCGTGTGCTGTTCACACAACGTCAAGTAAGTGACTTCGGAAGAGATTGAGCCATGTAGTCACCTCCCATTTAGAATTCACAATATGGTTCATTTTTTGATTAGATATCTGACTCTCTTGACTGTAGACCATCAATAAATCGCTGGCAACTAGAAAGCGCTTTGTCGATTTGTATTTAAGGAAATAAGTAACTGAACTCAACTTGCTCGCCTTAGTAATGCAGTAATGCTTCCAATAATTGTGTCAGTACAAACCTACTCCCCCAGTCCATCGCGCCATCATCTTCGATGCCTCTAAAAAGATGGCAGTTGTGAGGCTACGAGGCTTGCTTGACGTGAGGGCCATCACGTTCCTCTCAGAGCCATTAGGCCTACCCTTCGGTGCACCAGCTGCCTAGGGCCTTTTTCTCTGCGAAGAGAAAACACCGACATATTCCCTGGTTAGCCCCGACCTTGAATATATAAGCCAAATACTCATTCCAGAGTCAGCACAATTCTGATGGGAGTGGAATGCATGGCGCATCTTGATCGAAAACTGCTGAGCATCTTATTCTTTTCTGTACCAAAATACGAAGCCATTAAGGTGAACGAGCTGGAAGAACGTTTCAAAAGGCAGCGCTATGTGACTGCTGGTGAAAGGGAAGAACTGGCTAATCGCCTTGGTTTGAGCGCCACTCAGGTGAGATTCGAGATTTCCTTTTTGTTCCGCTGCAGTCAGCGCTCAAAAAAGTATAAAAAACCTTCTATCCTCCAAATTGTTCCCTTATTTGGCCAATTTCCCCTATATAATCAATTTTGTCACCGAAAAAAAAACATTCGTAACGAACACTAACTAAATAGCTCCACTGCCTCTCAGTTGTGCACTACATATCCCATTGAACGGGAGGGTGTGGCTGCGTACTTCCTCTGATGAGCTGTTTGTGGGACATGGTCGTTTGAGACAGCTGCCAGCCCGAGTTGCACTGGACAGAACATGGTCTCATCTGTGCTAGAACAATGTCCCCAGCCGAAGCCCAAATAGCGCCATGTCTAATGAAGCACACATCAGCCCTCCCCATCTCCGGGATACTGAGTGTGCCCTTTGGTACATGACTGAACAGTCATCCATTGACTACTGATTGCATACAATTAGATTCATAAATGTCGTACCTAAACGCTTTTGTACAGCTAAATCTACTTCAGATGTGTTTCAGATAAAAATTTGGTTCCAAAACCGTCGCTACAAATGCAAACGCCTTGCACAGGATCGAACGTTACAACTCAGTCAACTGCCATTTACTCCAGTGAGTAAAGTACACGATAAATTGTCATCCTTCGATGCACGTCCAGTAAACAGGGCCATTTTGTAAGGTACAGTAGAATACTAAGGAATCCCGAGGTCCTAGTAGGAGTCATTTCCCACGCAAGGCGAGAACTATTTCTACTCCTTATCCCTGAGACGGAGTAGGCGTGGCTTTTGAGCATGGCATAGGACGGGTTACTCGTGGGATATTTCAATTTCAAACAACTGCCACCTTGTTCTGTGTTAAATGTAGACATGATTACGACTGTTCCAAAATGAAAATATCTCACGAAAACTTGGGCCGTCGCCCACTTTAGACTTGAAGCGCGCAGCCCCGCCAATC